TATGCACTGCTTGAAGAGAAAGACTTTTTCATCACAAAAAAGTGCCAAATGCATTAAAATGATTATTTCATGATAAACCTTCTATAAAAATGTGCACATTGAGTTTAAATACACATCCAAAAATCACTTTATAATATAATAAAGTATGATTTCGTTATAAAATGTGCATTTAAGTTCATAATTAGATATGACTTTTCATGTAGGTTTTTTGTTTGTTTGTTTAAATGACTTTAATGCAGGAATAGGATAGGTCAGACTTATGAACTATCATGTGTGAAATTGACTTGGTTCAGAAAGAGACTCAGCTGCCCATCGCTTAGTCACACAAGGCTTTTGTTAGGACGGATCATGACTTTTTCATGCTTTTGCTACTTAATGTCTTTCCTCCATTTCAGTTAGCTACATGGGGCTACAAGGAAGGAATGAGAAATGTCACGAGGATCTGTGGAGAGGCTTGAGATGGTTATAAAATGAAGTGGTTTCTTGATGACGATGGAGCACGATGGCAGGAATACACTCTAGACTTTGGTGGACAAAAGACTAACTCATATCTATTTTTTCCTGGTTTGTGGCTAACAGATAGCTACAGTTTCTCAACATTGCACAAAGGGATCACGTACGGCTGATGTTTCAGTCATGATGAAATTCTTCATTTCAGATATCAAGGTATGTTGGCATCTAAAGTGTTTCTGACCTTATTGGTTTAGTGCATAAACCTGCCAACTTTCCAAGATGACTCGCCGAAAATTCTTAGGTAAAGTTGGCAATTTCAGTCAAATAAAATCACACCCAAAACAGGAAAACGAGAAGAGCAGTCATTGAACAATCTATTGTTCAACATCAGCACAGATTTAAAGTAACATTCGCATCAAACAATGCTTAGAAAAAAATGAAAGTATTCATCCTCCTATAAAGTTCCTGTGTGGTGGGATGTGAATTGTTCAATTTGTTTGTTTCAGCTATTATAATCTTTAATCTTGAAGCCCCAAAGAGTCTGAAAAAAGCAAGGATAGCAAACTTGTCACCATCCAGATGTTGTTGGACTACAACTCCCATCAGCCCCAGCCACCATGGCCAGTGGTCAGGGATGATGGGAGTTGTAGTCCAACTACATCTGGAGGGCCATAGGCTCCCCATTCCTAAAGAGTTTTTTAAAATGTAATTTGGATTTGAATGAATTTGAAGTTGAGTGAAGTGGACATCATTCAAAGTTCTACCCCAAAATGAACGTAATCTATGTTCAGTTCATCCAGCAATTATGGGAACTACTTCCAGCTGTTGTTCAGAGATTTTTGAACTAATTTGCTGAACTGCATGAACTGGCTCATTCCAAGCGCTGAGAATAAGGAATGTCGCCTGTCTGCCAGTGATGATGCTGGAGTTGTATGTGCAGAGTGAAAATTATAAAGCTTCAATTGCACAGATCAGCAGAAATACACTATAGCACACCCACTGGCATCTCTCTTTCCAAAAAGGAAGTGGATAAATAAGGAGAGCAGGATGCAGATCATTATTATTTATCCCTTATACAGTGGTACCTCGGGTTACAGACGCTTCAGGTTACAGACTCCAATAACCCAGAAATAGTATCTCGGGTTAAGAACTTTGCTTCAGGATGAGAACAGAAATCGCACGGCAGCGGGAGGCCCCATTAGCTAAAGTGGTACCTCAGGTTAAGAACAGTTTCAGGTTAAGAACGGACCTCCAGAATGAATGAAGTTCTTAACCCGAGGTACCACTGTATTATTTATCCTGTGTTGGGCTCTCAAAAAACCTTGCTTTTGTCCCATAAATAATAAAACGGTTGAAGAAAGTGAATCGTCTACCCCTTCAATTTCCCCAGCCTTTTACAAGCGTGTAAGTTTAGTCATTTGTGTTTGTCACCATTTTCTTCCAACGTTTTGCAACCAATTGTACATGCAGTGATGTGCCTTACAGTAACACGATCGCTTTACATGCTGCAAAACTGCCTACACTTGATTGCATCTACAGTTTATTTAGTCAGTTTATCTAGTTAGTTAACTATTTCTACAAAGGGACTGAAGGCAGATCGAAAGCAGGAACAGGTGAAAGCAAACATAATCTCATAAAAATCCAATATGGGCTCAAATTAATGGGTTCACAGTATCCAACCCATTGAACAAAATCCAGGAATACAGAAAGAGCACAGAACCAAATCAGCAAACAGTACATAACCGGCAAAGACAGGCATTGCTTTATTTTAAAGTAGTTTACCATGAAATAAATCTGAGCTCAGAAGCAGAGAGGCAGGCAAAACTGATCTTTCAAAATAGGTATAATATCAACAATTCTGGCTGTAGCCATCAAAACTGCAGCAGATGAGTTCTGCATCTGTTGTTGTTGTTGTTCAGACTTGGTGAATAAAGTCTCCCTCAAAGGTCTCCATCAAGTTTGAGAACCACGGATCTATTAGCAACTCACAAATTGCTTTTCCACAAAATGGGGAGCCCAGCTCAGGGTCCTGTTCTCAGCGTGCCTGTAGGAAGTCCACAAGCAGGTTCTGGTGCATTTCCATCCACAAGCTCTGGTGGGTGTCTTATTCAAATGCAATGGAAAGATTACCAAAGATCTCCCACCCACCCATTAGCTCTTATCGCTTGCATGAGCAAACTACTACCAGCATGACACTCTGTTTGACAGATTTGCACTGGCTGCCAATATGCCACCAGGCTAAGTTCAAGGTGTGGGCAACAGATAAGGCCCTATACAGCTCAGGATCAGGTCACTTGAGAGACTGCCTTACCCCCTACATACCTAATAGGTCACTGCAGTCTGCAGGGGAGTTTCTTTTGCAAGTTCCAAAGATTTCAGAAACCTACTCTGCAATAACTCAGAGCACGGATTTTAGTGCAGTTGCCCCTGTTCTGTAGAATATCAAGAGATGATAGCAGACCTTCCAAGTGTCCCTGTTTTCCAGGGACAGCCCCAGATTTACAGAAGCCATTTTGGTTTCTCATTTGATCCTGGAATGTCCTGCTTTTCCTTAGAACGTCCCTATTTTCATCGGAGAAATATTGAAGGGTATGGAGTTATCTGACCCCCAAGCCAATGAGATAAGTAACTATACAACCTCTAGAAGACATCTGAAGGCAGCTCTGTATAGGGAAGTTTTCTTAAATGTTTTATGTTCTATTGTGTTTTTATATATGTTGAAAGCCTCCCAGAGTGGCTGGGGCAACTCAGTAAGATGGGTGCCATATAAATAGAATAATAATAATAATAATAATAATAATAATAATAATAATAATTTATTATTTATACCCCGCCCATCTGGCTGAGTTTCCCCAGCCACTCTGGGCAGCTCCCAATCAAGTGTTAAAAACAGTACAACGTTAAATATTAAAAACTTCCCTGAACAGGGCTGCCTTAAGATGTCTTCTGAATGTCAGGTAGTTGTTTATCTCTTTGACATCTGATGGGAGGGCGTTCCACAGGGCGGGCGCCACTACCGAGAAGGCCCTCTGTCTGGTTCCCTGTAGCCTCACTTCTCGCAATGAGGGAACCGCCAGAAGGCTCTCGGCGCTGGATCTCAGGCTGAATGATGGGGGTGGAGGCGCTCCTTCAGGTATACAGGACCGAGGCCGTTTAGGGCTTTAAAGGTCAGCACCAACACTTTGAATCGTGCTCGGAAATGTACTGGGAGCCAATGCAGATCTCTCAGAACCGGTGTTATGTGGTCCTGGCGGCCACTCCCAGTCACCAGTCTAGCTGCTGCATTCTGGATTAGTTGTAGTTTCCGGGTCACCTTCAAAGGTAGCCCCACATAGAGCACATTGCAGTAGTCCAAGCGGGAGATAACTAGAGCATGCACCACTCTGGTGAGACAGTTGGCGGGCAGGTAGGGTCTTAGCCTGCGTACCAGGTGGAGCTGGTAGACAGCTGCCCTGGACACAGAGTTAACCTGCGCCTCCATGGACAGCTGTGAGTCCAAAATGAATCCCAGGCTGCGCACCTGGTCCTTCAGGGGCACAGTTACCCCATTCAGGACCAGGGAATCCCCCACACCCACCCGCTCCCTGTCCCCCAAAAACAGTACTTCTGTCTTGTCAGGATTCAACCTCAATCTGTTAGCCGCCATCCATCCTCCAACCGCCTCCAGGCACTCACACAGGACCTTCACCGCCTTCACTGGTTCTGATTTAAAGAAGAGGTAGAGCTGGGTGTCATTTGCATATTGATGAACACCCAGCCCAAACCCCCTGATGATCTCTCCCAACGGCTTCATATAGATATTAAAAAGCATGCAGGAGAGAGGATGGAACCCTGAGGCACCCCACAAGTGAGAGCCCAGGGGTCTGAACACTCATCCCCCAACACCGCTTTTGGACACGGCCCAGGAGAAAGGAGAATAATTGAATAAGACATGCCTATTTTCATTGCAGAAATGTTGGAGGGTATGTGGCAGGTGCCCACAATCTGCACTTTCCAGAACCAAATGAAGAGTGAAGACATCCCCACCCCACCCCCGATGGACTTTTTCAGTTGGCTATATGGCTCTTTGCCACAACTGTTTGTTTTGTTTGGTTCTAGTTTTTTAAAATATATTTCTGATTATATTTGTGTTTTCAGCTGTTATTTTGCTGTTTTTATAGAACATTATTTTGAGATGGTTGTATAATGATGATGATGATGATGGGAGGAGGAGGAGGAGAAGAAGAAGAAGAAGAAACAACCTCAGCTGACCATCTCTCTAGCAAAGAAACTGTCTGCAGATGGGTTTGGGGAGGAAGTCTCCTTGTTACTCTGAGGTTTCAGCTGACAACGCAATAAAGAGGAATGAGGTACGTTGCTTCCTATGTAAGACTGACACTCGAGGAGCGGTGGGGGTTTTTCCTTTAGAGAGTTACCGCTTCATGTTCCCCCCCCCAAAAAAATAAAAGTATGACATAAACTCCCAAAGCCACAGACAATGTGACAACATGGCATGAGTCAGTGGGGGCTACCACCAGATGTGCAATGTCTCTATATAAAGGTTCCATGTGCTGTTGGCAGACACCACAGGCTGAAGATCTTCTCCTCTGATACGGGTCCTTCAGTAAGATCCACAATGAACGGTGCCCTGATCTGCATGGCACTTTTTCTGCCCTGCAGCTTGGCTGTCCCAATAGCTCACGACCCTGAAGCACAGAGCGTTGAGGATATGAAGTTTGTAGAGGTATGTGACGTCAAAGCTTTTATCGGCAGTAAATATTAGCTGTCCTGCCACTATATTGTAGGGAAGGCTTTATTTTTAATCGTGTATTATGTTGCTGTGAAGGATGGATGTAAATGTTTGTGGGCAGCACGTGACCTGTTGCTTCTAGGTGTACATCATCTCTTCCAACATAAAGCTGCTGCCCTTGGCTCCTTGGGGAGGAAGGGTGGGATGTAAATTCAGTAAATAAATGTATAGTGGACTTTTTCACATGATCTCCCATCCAGGCACTGACCAGGGCCAGACCCACTTAATTGCTGCAAGGTAGCAACCTTCAGTCCACAGTCCTAGTCTGAAATTGAGATTTGCAATGGAATTGGTTGCATCCACAAACTTTAATTGAAAAGGATGTGGTGGTCTAATTTGTCCAAACTACAGTCAACCTAGATGTGACTGCAGCAGCCATGCATCTACATGTGTATGTTTATAGTGGGGGTCTGATCCTGCCATGATCATCGTCATTACATTATTCGAACAAATAGGCCATTTTTGCAGAGTTTGGACCAAAGTGGCAGGGGCAACAGAGCACAAAAGAGTTAAGCAAGGGAAGAAAGTTCAGCTCCTCTCACTGATAAGTCCCTTTTCATGTTGAAATGGGACTCCTCTCTCCACCCCACCCACCCCCCACCCCCCCGGTTTATATGCAGATGAGACAAACACATTAATCAAACATGGTGATCACAACTGGATTGCTGCAATGCTCTTAAAGGGGATCCAGAAGCTGCAGCTGGTGCATAATGCTGCAGTCTGGTTGCTGTACAGTATCCCAAAGTGGAGCTATGTAACACCCAGCAGTGGTTGCTGCCCATTGGGGCTGGTAAGGCACAAGACCAACAGTGGGGGGAGCCAGAGCCAATGGCAGGCAGAGCAGCCCCACAGCTGGTTGTAAATAAGGAGGCAGAAGACTGACCAAGGGCAGCCTGGGGATTGGTGGGGCAGCTCTCCATTTGCCTTAATGGGACAGCATCCTTCTGATAATACCAGTTGCCTTTATGCTACTGGACCTGATCTGAGGGTGTTACTCTGGTCTACAAAACCCCTGAATGTCATGGACCCAAATATTTGGTGGAGCCCCGTATCTCCTTGAATGCTCAGGCTTAAGATCAGTGGCGAAGGGCATTCTGGTGGTACCAGTGATGGGCACTGCCTGTTACAAGGTGATGCGAGGCTGTCCCAATGGTGGGATGCCATCCAATTGGAAGTACCATTGGTCCCCCTTAGTATCATATTTCTATCACCGTTCGAAAGGCGCAGAGTTTATTGAGATGATTGGTGGAGGCCACTACACAATGAGCTTTATAAAACTGCACCGTATTTATGTTCTTATTGTAGGTAGGATTTTATGTGTTGGTGTGCATATCATCCTGGGTTAGAGGACCTTCCAGAGAGGGTGCGAAGGGAGGGAGATTGCCAAAAGAAATCACTTCCTACACCTTTCTGCCGATGAAAACCTTTCATTTTCCTGAAGGAAAAGAAACAACTCAAATGTCTGGCCCAGCTGCCTCCATCACACCATCAGTAAAATGTCATTTGCAAGGTGCAATAAATGCATGATGAAGCGCTCTTAATTTGGCTTTCTTGCTTCCTGGTACAGGCTTATCTCGATAAGTACTTCCCATCATCATCATCACATCTTAAAAGTGGCGGTCAAAGCATAGAGGAGAAGCTCAGACAAATGCAGAGTTTCTTTCATTTGACTGTCACTGGGAAAATGAACCAAGAAACGATGGAGACAATGGAGCAGCCTCGGTGTGGAGTCTCAGATATCTCAGAAAAATCTGCAGTAAGATGGGGAAAGACATTGCTGACATACAGGTTAGCCCTGCTAAAGTCTCCTCTCTCTTTCTCTCCCTTTGAAATATCATGTTAAGTTGTGGGTGAACATATCAGACGACACAGCGATTCTTCAAACAGCTCTTGTTTATTCACAGGCCAGGACAGAACTGAACTGAAGGGTTCAGTCAGCCTGCTTATATAGAGCTCCAGTACAACGTTACTGTAACAACTTTCTAAAACTATCCAATCACTGAACGTCACTTTCGATCCCTTATTTGTATAACTATCTACAGTATCCCCCTGCTGGCCCAGGGTGAGAACTTCAGTACATAACATATCAGAAGTGACATTTCCTGGATACTAATATTTTGGTTTTCCCTGTTGCTCCCAGGATTAATAACTACACCCCAGATATGCCGAAGTCCAAGGTGGAAGAGGCAATAGCAAAGGCATTCAAGGTGTGGAGCGATGTGACCCCATTGCAGTTCAGGAGAACTTCCAGACCTGCTGATATTGAAATCTGGTTTGCAACTGGTGGTAAGGGATGTTTATATTTATGAACTACCCAAATAAAACATGAACATTTTAATTTTTTTTAACACATAGAGTGAGTGGGGCCTTTTCTGGAGCATTACTCGGGAACAGTCATCAGAAAATCGCCTCTGAGTTAACCATGGGGGGGGGGGGAGATGCTTTCACTGATCAAATTCTAAGTAGCCTTCTTTGTCCATAAACAGGGGCAGATATGTTTTGCAATGGTACTCCCTGCCTCTACTAGGGCTAATACTTTAAAAATGCTTGCTGCACCATTCAGACCTGAGCTGATTGTTTCAGCCTGAGGCATGGTCGAGCCGGCCCTATCCTTAACATTAGTACTGTCCGGACCTGTCAGTCCTTATGAAAAGAAGTAAGCCCTAACTAGCTCAGTTAGGAGGGATGCGGGTGGCGCTGTGGTCTAAACCACTGAGCCTAGGGCTTGCCGATCAGAAGGTCGGTGGTTTAAATCCCAGGGAGGGGGTGAGCTCCCGTTGCTCAGTCCCTGCTCCTGCCAACCTAGCAGTTTGAAAGCACGTCAAAGTGCAAGTAGATAAATAGGTACCGCTCTGGCGGGAAGGTAAACAGCGTTTCCGTGCGCTGCTCTGGTTTGCCAGAAGTGCTGGCCACATGACCCAGAAGCTGTCTGCAGACAAACGCTGGCTCCCTTGGCCAGTAAAGCGAAATGAGCGCTGCAACCCCAGAGTCGCCCATGACTGGGCTTAATGATCAGGGGTCCCTTTAGCTCAGTTAGAGACAGTATAGTTCTGTTTTAAAAGGAAGTGGGTTGGTGAGGGGCAAAATATATATATCCCAAAACCGCCGCCCCAAAAAGCAACTACCACCACCTAGACCTGTGACCGTCCCAATGTTGTGGGACTCCAACACCCATCAGTCCCGTTCAGCAGCATCAGTGATCAGGGATGGCAGCAGTTGCTTTCCAATGACATCTGGAGGACATCTTGACTTCTCCCCAGTCTAGTCCTGTTACTCCCTTTACTCAGGCGTTCCTAATTCTTTAGAAACAGGAGTTGTGGAAGCACAACGAACAGTGCATTTCATCCAAAGGTTTAATCGCTGCCGCCACTGCTGCCACTGATATGGAGCGCCTGCAGACAGCCTTTTTCATGTGCGCTCATGATGATATGTGCTCATGATGCTATTGGTGTGGTCACACCTGAGTCTGCTTTCAAGACTGTTTGTACCTGAAAAAGTTTTGAGTTGGTCGTTCTGCTTTCTTTCCTGCCATGGCATACTCCATAACTTCCTTTTCATACTACAAATGTTTGGTTCTGCTTTTGGTGTGCTAGAGCCCCTCTGGACAACCATAAGGTGCTAGGCAGCATCTCAGGTCCTCCTAGTGGTGCAGCAATAAAACTGCTAGTATATTTGCAAAACTAAGCAGGGTCCAGTATAGTTTCAACTAATAAAGCTGAATGAATCCACCACTGATGCCTTGTTATTGTAACAAGAACATGCTGCAGAATACACCTACAATGAAATACCAATCAGGAGGGGAACCATATGGTGTCCATACATGGCCATTTGGAGAGCCAAATAGCCGCAGTGTGATTGGGGCTACACGAGCAGGCGGAAAATGTCAGTGTATTGTGACTGCTAACCTAACTGCAAGTTTTGCGCTGACAGTAGCTGTTACTTCCTTTCAAATGCAGCCCATGGCGACGGTTCTCCTTTCGATGGAAGAGGAGGGACGTTGGCTCATGCCTATTTTCCTGGACAAGGCATAGGGGGAGATGCTCATTTTGATGACAGTGAGCGCTTTTCGGAATTCAACAGAGGTAAGCGATTTCCTGCTGAGCGTTTCTGTTGGTTGGTTGGTTTCGTTTCTGTTCCGTCTTTCCCAACCCCCAGTGTAACAAGGCAGCTTGAAAGCATAAGCAACAATCAAATCATTATAAAATAAACCTTATGGAGATAAAAGCACAGCAATGGCAAAATATTAGGCGAAGCAACAAAAGTCAGTTGAGAAACGTTTTAACCTGAAAATGCCTGCTGGAATAATACCATTTTCACTGCTTGTCCAAAAGTGAGCAGTGATGGGGTCAGGTACCCCCCGCTAGGGAGGTTGTTCCAAGTTCTAGGTGCCCCTAGGGATGATTCAGAAAACCATTATTTCTGAATTCTGATATGAGGATCAGAACCAACAACTCAATCCTAGTCATAGCTACCCAGAAGTAAGTTCCATTGAACTGAATGGGGCTCCCTCCTGGTTGGCCACTGTGAGAACAGGATACTAGATTAAATGAGGTTTTTGGGTTGATCCAGAAGGCTATTATTATGTCCCTATGACAGTTTTCTATGTGCAGTATTTTCATTTTTCAACATGTGCCATGGGGAATGTGTCTGTGGGCTGGAGGTGGACACATGCCACCATATATCCCCTTGGGATACGTACTCAACACTCACCTTACTCCCTTCCCTGTTTTTCTTCTTCTGTCTTTTAGAGATCAACCTATTCCTTGTTGCTGCACATGAATTTGGCCATTCCTTGGGACTGAGCCATTCAAATGTCCGTGGTTCTTTGATGTTCCCTTCCTATTCCTTTGTGAACCCAAATAACTTCAACCTCCCACACAACGACAGGCAAAGGATCCAGAGATTATACGGTAAGTTCCCTGTGAATAATCTTGTTTCCCACAACTAATTCCATATTAATCAGACTCCCCTCCCAACCCTACAACCTCAAGCTAATTTCAGTGGCTCCCATCAAGCAAAGGAGATCTATGCAAAGCTGTAAGAATATGTAAGAATACAGATCTTCTCTTTGGTCCATGGAAATTGGCCATCATCTAACTTTCCATTGTTGCATATAGTGCCCACCATGCAATAATGTATTGGCTGGAGAGCATAACTGGCTAGCACATTATCATTGGAAGAGGCACTAATCCCACTTGCTCATGTTGGGCCACTTAGTCTCCACCCACAGCATTCAACCCGGACGCTGAGGTCCTCCTCCGAGGGCCTTCTGGCAGTTCCCTCCCTGTGAGAAGTGAGGTTACAGGGAACCAGGCAGAGGGCCTTCTCGGTAGTGGCGCCTGCCTTGTGGAACGCTCTCCCACCAGATGTCAAAGAAATAAACAACTATCTGACTTTTAGAAAGAATCTGAAGGCAGTCCTGTTTCGGGAAGTTTTTAATGTTTGAGGTTTTATTGTGTTTTTAATATTTTGTTGGGAGCCACCCAGAATATTAATAAAATTAATTAATTTATTAATAATAATGGAAATAGTAGTAGTAGTAGTATACTTACTGGTACCACACACCACAAAACTGAATACAGGGTAAAAGGGTAATTTTTCATACTGCGTACAGAAGTCTTATGGCTGTGTCCACAAGACTTAAAACCAAACATAAAATATAGTAAGTCTGCAATCCTATACATCTATACAGCCCCATTGATATGTATGAGAAATAAGGGTGGAAACCTATATTTCCTTACTGAGCAAATTTTGTCTGAAGATACTTGTGTAGATATTGGTAGTATTTCCTTGGATATTTTAACTTAATTGCATAATTTATTTATTGTCTCTTAAATATCCTTATTTTTCTTCCTCAGGACTGCCAAAGTGAAATCCTCAAAGCATCACGGATAAAATTCATCTTGTATCTTTAAACATCTTTGGCAACCGTAACAAGAAGTAGAACTAGGGCCAACTTAGAGACATTTATGTTTACGATATATTCACATATAGGGGAATTTCTTCACTCTAGTCTCTATTCCCCTTTTCCAAGGCTTCCCTTTACAAGGGAGAAAAAGTCCTAAAATCTGCAATGCTTAATTAGGTGATGAAGCTTTGGACTTTCATTTTCTGTCTGGTTATTTATCTATGTATTCGCTTGCAAAGGAAGACTCCGGGTTATGGTTGCTTGTCCTGATATCATTGTCTTACCTTTTGCAAAGAAAACATTGTGCTGTGTGTCTCAGGCCTGATCAACTTTGACACACACAGCAAGGCTGTTTTTATAAAGTTCTCTGTTCAGTTCCACCCACAAACTGGGTTGTAATGGATGAACCAATTACGTGTTTCAACACCATGAACTATTTCCACCTTGTTTAGTTCACATTTGTTTTAGGGCAGGAAAGCCCTTTTTAACAATAAAGCAAAATATCTTAAATTTGTGCTATTTATTTACATTTTTTTTTTCCTACGGAAATTTCTACCTCACTATTCAAGGAAATTTGTGGCACAGCTTACAAAACAGAACTAAAGCAGAGGGCCAGAGTTCCTTCTGGAGAACCTTCCAAGGGCCACATTCCAGTGGTGGGCAGGGCCAGAGCTAACAGTGGGCAGAGCAATGAATGTAGACTTTATTGGGCTAGTTTCATCACACTTTATCCTCCATAAGCAAGAGGCATTATTAGAGTTTAAGGACGTATTCCAGTTATGTAAAACCATTTGGCCCAATGAGGAACAAAGACTGGAGAAAGTTTCACAGGCCAGACCGAGAGGCCTGGGGACCCACATTCTGCCCTCTGGCCAGTGGTTGCCCAGCCACTGTGAAGACCTTTTACCAATAATTGTTGGGGTGCGTCCTGGGAGCCAGGGGCAATTGGCAGCCCCAGCTGGCTCCAGCCCACCGGCCGGCAGCTGGGCAAACTCCGGTTCTCGGAACAGCATCAAAACTGTGACTCAAGCCTCAGAAACCTTTAGAGACTGAGCACGCGAACCTGCAGAGATAAGAACTCTTTGCAACGGAAAGGCAGACAGAGTCATATGTAAGCATATTTACAAGCATTTTATTCAGCATCAGGACAAAGGAAAAACATGTCTGCTCCCCTTCGTGTCCAAGCAAAAGCAGGAAGCACAAAGCAAAAGCAATACACAAACAGAAGTTCCCAGCAAGCTATGCTGGAATGTAAGCAGACATGTGATATACAACAGCTCCACACATCTGTTTAGGTGGAACAGAACATCATAATCCTAACAATAACTTCCAACACCTTCAAAGATGAAGGGACTCAAAGAGGGAGCTCTGCTGAAAACCTTAGTGTTTTTTGCTACCTGTCAGGGACTGGGCAGAGGAGGAATGGTGGAGACTGCCTCTCTATCCTGACCCTTCCAAGGAGGAGGAAAAGGAAGACAGTGTAGATTTACAACAGTGGTTTAAGGGAGGTTGCAGCTTAGAGGCAGATGAGGGGGAAAGTTGGGAAATCATGGGAGATCCAGAGCAACACCCGGCTGACACGTTATCATTAGAAGGTATTCTAGACCCTCCATCTCCCAGAACCAAGCGAGCCTTAAAAGTAGGAGAGCAAAGAGCTCAAAGACAGAGGGCACTTAGTGGCACCCGTAGAAGTGATGAATGAGTAAGTGGGAGAGATGGGGGGGGTGGAGATTCACTCGGAACAACGCCATTATCCAAGAGGCTGGGTTCTATAGCCTGCCTCTGTAAAGATTGAAATAAAAAAGGACTGTAAAAAACTTTTCCTTGTCTTTATACAGTGGACGCTCGGGTTGCAAACGTGATCCGTGCGGGATGCACGTTCGCAACCCGCAGCGTTCACAACCCACGTCTGCGAGTCTGCGCATGCGCAGGTTGCGATTTGGCCTTCTGCGCATTTGCAAAACGTGATTTAGCACTTCTGCTAAATTATAAGTTATAAGGGTTAATGTGGTTCCTGCTGCTTTTTTGGAAAAACAAAACCCTCAGATGCAATGAAATTAATGAGCTGTTACTGCATTCTGATCATAAAGTCACCCAGGGAATATTTCTATCCATGCAAGAAAATTGCAATATACCTACACCTCTATTTCACCTGTTTACTACTTTTGAAAGACAGATTATACAATGACTACAAATACTTCCAGCCTCAAAGGCAACATGCCGCTGCTGGGATTGACCAATAGGGACAGTGCTTGTTGCACGTGGGTACTGCTTGTGAACTTTCCATTAGGTTAGGGCATCTAGTTGGCCAATGGACTAAATGGCCACAACCTTTGGCCTGAGCCAGCAGAGATCTTCCTGTGTTCTTATATAGCCGCCTGCCGTAACGTTGTGCAATGTCCAGAGAGAAGGGGTCATCTGAGAGCCAGCCAAGACCAAGAACAAACATCTTCTTTCCTTCAGGCAAGGCACCACAACTTCCTGGATAAACCTCAAAGCCTTATGTTTGCTTGCAGACAGAACAATGGGCAAGATCTGGTGTGAAGCATTAAGCACGAAATAAGAGTGCGGATCATTTTCATCTGAGATCAAGGAAATGTGCTAATGCCTAATAGTTAATGCAAGAGCAAATATGGTGGATACAGACTGTGCTGGTTATAAACAGGAAGGGCAAGGCAGGAACCATTATTATTATTATTATTATTATTATTATTATTATTTCTGATTCATCAGTATTTACACAGGGCATCCTACTAGGGGCTAGGCATCAGAGTCCAGTGCAGTATAGCCTAGGGCCTCCCCCAAAATCATAGAATTCTAGAGTTGGAAGGGACCACGAGGGTCATCTAATCCAACCCCCTGCAATCCTGGAGTCTTTTTGCCCAATGTGGGTATTGACCCTTGAGATTAAGAGTCTCATGCTCTGCCGACTGAGCTATCCCGAATGACCATCCAGAGAGTAGCAAATGATGGGGGAAGCAACAAAGAGGTCCGAAATCATCACCAGAGTCAGCCTGGGCATGCCAGCACCCAGATACACCAACGCTGCTTGCCGCAACATCCTTCTTTTAAAAACAAATGTTATGTTCAGGTGGCAGCCAGCTAGGTGTGTTCATAGTTGCAGGTGCTCACTTTATTATCTTCGCTTAGATAATATAAAATCATTTTCTATCAGAAGGTGGTGCTTTATCTCAAATCAATGTGGGCAACAGAAGCACAATCAATTTTCGGGTCAAGATGGTGCCGTGATTTAAGCTACAGTGGCTCATGGTTGGAGATGGGGCAGAAGAAGAGGCGGTGGTGTTCTCCTGATAGGTAGCAGTGAGGAAAGGCCTGTTTTGGTGGCACCAGTCCAGAATTCTCCCAACCTTGCTGCCTTGCCTCATCTGTGTCCTGGCAAGCACATTGTGACCAGGAGGATGTCACTGGCCCTGAAGAAGAAGAAGAAGAAGAAGAAGAAGAAGAAGAAGAAGAAGAAGAAGAAGAAGAAGAATTAATTTATTTATAACCCACCCATCTGGCTGGGTTTCCCCAGCCACTCTAGGAGGGTCCCAACAGAAAATTAAAAACATGATAAAACATCAGACATTAAAAGCTTCCCTAAACAGGACTGCCTTCAGATGTCTTCTAAAAGTCAGGTAGTTCTTTATTTCCTTGACATCTGATGGGAGGGCGTTCCACAGTGGTGGGTGCCACTATCGAGAAGGCCCTCTGCCTGGTTCCCTGTAACTTCACTTCTCGCAGTGAGGGAACCGCCAGAAGGCCCTCGGCGCTGGACCTCAGTGTCCGGGCTGAACGATGGAGGTGGAGACATTCCTTCAGGTATTCTGGGCCGAGGTCATTTAAGTCTTTAAAGGTCAGCACCAACACTTGGAATTGTGCTCAGAAATGTGCTGGGAGCCAATGTAGGTCTTTCAGGACTTACCTCTCCTCACAAATCACACTACTGATAAAATGCACATGGTCCTCTAAGATCATTGTCAAGGATCTAACTGGACCACTGCATGATACAAGAACATAAGGAGAGTCTGCTGGATCACTCTGCCTTCCTGCAGTTTCCAGTAACTGGTACAGTGGTACCCCAGGTTACATACGCTTCAGGTTACATACGCTTCAGTTACATACGCTTCAGTTACAGACTCAGCTAACCCAGAAATAGTGCTTCAGGTTAAGAACTTTGCTTCAGGATGAGAACAGAAATTGTGCTCTAGCGGTGCAGCGGCGGCAGCGGGAGGCCCCATTAGCTAAAGTGGTGCTTCAGGTTAAGAACAGTTTCAAGTTAAGAACGGACCTCTGGAACGAATTAAGTACTTAACCCAAGGTACCACTGTATTCAGAAGCATTGCTGCCTCTGACCATGGAGGCAAAACATAGACATCATGTCTAGTAGCCATCAATAGCCCTATCCTCCAAGAATTTGTCTAATCGACTTTTAAAGCCATCCAAGTTGGTGACCATCACTGCCTCCTGAGGGAGCAAGTTCTATAATTTAACAATGCATTGCATGGAGGAATACTTTTTTATCTGTCCTGAGTCTTCCAACAATCAGCTTAGTTGGATGTCCACAAGGTCTAGCGTTATGAGAGAGGGAGAAAACATTTCTCTATCCACTTTCTCAAAGACATGCATGGTTTTATAAACTTCTGTCATGTCACCTTCTCTAAATCTTTTCCATCTCTACAATATCCTTTCCGAGGTGAGGCAACCAGAACTGTTCCTGATAACATTTGTTCTGTGAGGTGAGGGGGTGCTAGCCATCTTAAAGAGAGGTTTTTCAGCATGCTCACCAAAATGCTGTTCCCCAGGCCTAAACACAGAGGTAACTGACGTGATGCCCTTCAGATTTTATTAGACTACGACACCTCATGCTTTCTTAGCTAATTTTAGTAGTCATCTTGTTCTCTCATGCTCCTCATAATATTTGAAATGCCTTTTAGTTTCCCACTGTGCTGGTTCTCTCTCTCTCTCTCTCTCTCTCTCTCTCTCTCTCTTTCTGTGTGTATGTGAGTGAGTTATTTTAGGGTTGCCAAACATCCGGAATTTCCCAGACATAGCCAGGATTCAGCCATTGGAAGTAACGTCCGGGGAAAATCCAGACGTATGGCAACCCATGTCGGAAGTGTATATTTTGGCAAATTTCATTTTAAGAAAAGCTCAAAAACTTCTTCCTTTTGAGATTTCCTCCCAAAAAAGCTCAACAACTTGTGTCCGGATCTTCACTTTTTTGAAATATGGCAACTCTAGCTATTTGCTGGTGCAACTGTTTTGCCTACCATTCTTAGTAGGCTTATTGTTCTTTTTATAGCATTTTAATGCTGTACTAGTGCCTCTAGGCCATTTAGAAAAAGGCACAATATAAATAAATAAATGAATGAATGAATATTCGCTCCATGTTTAACTCAGCTGTTAACCTGTGATCACTTGTTGTTTCCCAGAGTGAACTGCATATTTCTACAACCACCCTAAGATGAAAACCTACACATTCCTGCCTACTCTTATTCCTACACAGAAGCGTTCTTTGTAAATCAGACTTGTTGTTTCCAAAGTGATCATAAGCACATCACTGCTTAGAATGAAATGCCAGAATAATTAGTCATTGTGGTATTTTTAAACAAATTAATTAAAAAATCAATTTCTTCGCATTGTTGAAAGGTATTCCACAGCATACAAATCAATGGATGAAACAATGCAACTGTTAATAATTTAAAGTTTAAGCATGAACATTTAACTTTCCCAAAACAAATAAAGCTGAAGGGCACATTGTTGTTCTTTTTGAAATAACTTAATCCCCAGCACTTCCTTGTGAGGAAAGGATTTTCCAAGTCTCATTCAGACGGTAGGTAATTAAAACAGTCTGGTTCCCACAAGATGGTTCAGAGATTGTTTAGCCACCAGATACAGACACTCACCATTTGGCTTTATCTAAATTATGAGCTTACCTTGAGTCAGAATGCCACCGAAGCTGACCAAACGAAACCCTGAAATGTCTAATCTCTATCACTTGCCTTCAACCCTTTAAGGCCTATAGTCCACCACTGAGACTAGGGAAACTGCAACATTGGATCAACTTATAGTGGGGTCCATGGCCCCAGAAAATTCAAAATGCTTAAGAGCCCTTGAAATCAAGGGGATAAGTTAAGTCTCTGCTAAATTAAGCCTCATTATGCTCTCCATAATTCTCTTTCTTTCCCTTTTTTAAAAAATAAAAATGGCGGCTGTGGCACTGGTGCATTCCACCATTCACAACCACCAGCTGAAGGTAAATCGTCTACATGGAAAATATTAGGAAATCAGTAGCATCTGTGTTTAATTTCCAGAAAGACAAATGATGAAGATAGAGACAAACCATTGACCCCTCTAATGTATAATTAAGAACATAAGAAGAGCTCTCTCTGTCTTTTTCTGTTCCAGAGGTATCGTAAGAAGTACTAAGGCATCGACTTGGTCTTTGCAGAAATCATGATGCTAGATCAATCTTTGATCTGATCTAGTAGGGATCTTCTGAGGCTCTTGTGTGCTTTAAATCCAGTGCTTTTAGGTCCCTCTCAAAGAATATTTAAAGGGGGTCTTGTGGAAAAGAAGATGAGCATGTCCCAAATATGACAGCAGCAGCAATAGTAGTAAGAAGAAGCTGTAGCCATTTTCACGGTGAGTGTGTCCCAGATACAAAGGCAGCAATAAGAATACAAGCATCCAATTTAATTGTGAGCACTGCATGGAAAGTGCAATGGATAGTGGCACAACTCATTTGGAAAACTAATAGAAATTGTTTGGCCAAAAAAAAAAGGAAGTAGCGCAACTCAAGGGACACCCCTCTCCTTGGCACTAAAGCTGACATATACAGTAAGGCTACCAGTGGTTGCTAGCTATGAGGGCTCCACTGTCGGAGGCAATGGGCCTCTGAAAACCACAGGAGGAGAGAGTACAGTGGTACTTCGGGTTACAGACGCTTCAGGTTACAGACTCCACTAACCCAGAAATAGTACCTCGGGTTAAGAACTTTGCTTCAGGATGAGAACAGAAATCGCACAATGGCGGCAGCGGGAGGCCCCATTGGCTAAAGTGGTACCTCAGGTTAAGAACAGTTTCAGGTTAAGAACGGACCCCCAGAACGAATTAAGTTCTTAACCCGAGGTACCACTGTATACCTGAAAGAGCATCTTCACCCCCATCGTTTTGCCTGGACACTGAGGTCCCGCACCGAGGGCTTTCTGGCGGTTCCCTCACTGCGAGAAGTGAGGTTACAGGGAACCAGGCAGAGGGCCTTCTCGGTAGTGGTGCCTGCCCTGTGGAATGCCCTCCCACCAGATGTCAACAAAATAAACAACTACTGACTTTTAGAAGACATCTGAAGGCAGCCCTGTTTAGAAATGTTTTTAATGTTTTAATGTTTGATCGTAACGTTTTATCGTGTTTTTAATATTCTGTTGGCCCAGAGTGACTGGGGAAACCCAGCCAGATGGGCTGGGTATAATTAATTAATTAATTAGTGCAATTGAGCTCATGTCCTTCTTGTGAACATCCCACAGGCATCTAGCTGGCCACTGTGAGAACAGAATACTGGACAAGATGGGCCTTTGGCCTGTTCTTGTGCTCTGGGAGGAAGCTTGTTACAACAACCATTTCAGCCAGCCCCTTCTAGATTTCCAGCGGTTCGACTGACAGCGGATCCTCAGACGGAACCCCTTCGACAGAAACCTTTCCGAAAGTGCAGAATTCTAACCACACAGCCTAAGCTGTGGACGAGTCACCTGCTTTGCAGTGCTCCACCTGGAAAGCTAGACAACGCAGAAGGCGATGTCGCAACGCGTCTCAGCGGCAAACAAAGAAGATTGGGCAAGCCAAAGAGGGTGGGGTCGTACAGTAGATGCTTTGGGTGGATTTAGAAGAGCCAACTTCCCTATGTCCTGTGGTTTTAGAGAGTGAAAGGAAAGATGGGATGGGGACAAAGCGAAATGACATCAGTGGAAATGTCAACAATGAGGAGGAGGGGAGGAAAGACATGCCTTTAATGTTTCCTCGTAATCATTTTGGAGTTGTGACATTTGACCATCCAGAGCCATTCACACACAAAAAGCAGGCGAGCGCCATAAAGTGAGTCACCTGGATTTTTACAACATGCCACACTGGTCAGGCATATATAAGCTTGCCCATTTGGGCTCCAAAATGCGATACACCAAAGGCTTTCTTCTTTTGGTGCAGGCAACCTTTCAACAACCTCCACTATGAGGCGTGTGGTGCTCCTGTGGGCTGTGATGCTTCTGCCTTGCAGCTCCACCTTTCCAGTTCAAAAGCCAGAATTGAAAATCAGGGATCTGAAATTCATTGAGGTATGTAGCCATTGCAGCATTAACAGATCATGCCATAGAACTATAGAGCAAGGGCCCTGCTGCTGTTGTGTGGAGTAGGAAGATGGGCAAATCTGTCAATTTAGGTTTCTCATTTTTCCTATCTTAAATCTGGTTCTCCACATTTCCACATAAGTTTGCAAATTTTCAAGTCTTCACGGAGATTCATCAGCATGTTATTGCTGATTTCTCCTAATGTATACATTTTAAAAAAATATATATATTGCATACTAGACATGAATTTGCAAAGCATTTTTTCCTAATATAATGTCTTTTTGCATAGTCTAATATATGCATTTTTGTATTTGACTGAAGAACTGCATTGCAAATTTCAGAGAATATCAAATTGTATCTTCTCTCTCTCTCCCCCCCCCCAATCTAATCTATAACATTTATATCCCACCTTTTTCTCCTAAGAGCTCAAAGTGGCATACATTGTTCTCCCCCTCCTCATTTACCCCCCACAACAACCCTGTGAGGTAGGTGAGGCTGAGAGGCAGCGACTAGCCCAAGGTCACCCACTTATCTACATGGCCGAGATTTGAACCCTAGCCTCCCATATCTTAGTCCACCCTTTCTAACCACTACACCACACTGGCTCTCATAGTTGGGTTTTGGGTGGCATATTGTTTGGGAAACTGTGAATTAGGTAGGTTCACCTTTAAATGCAAAGTGAATTGAATTTCTCCTCCATCCCTAATTTTGAGGAACGTTTTCATTACTGGACTTCTTTCCATGGCTTCTGTACACAGAATGCAACGAATGGTTTCTCTCTGTTCTGTGCTTTTTTCGAAAATCACTGCAGGTGCTGTATTCTTTTTTTAAGCAATAGATGGAGGAGGGTGATTGGAATGTAGATTAGACTTAAAAATAAATGCCAGCGAGAGAACTGGCATGTTCAGAGGATAAACAATGAGCAAGCAATGAGCCAGAATGGGAAGAAGTTGAGAGAATGCTGTTTGCCTGCTTACCATAGGCATCTAGCTGGCCACTGTGAGACCAGGCGCTTCACATGTTCTTAAAGATCCAAACTAAATGATCCCTTTTTTATTCCAGGCTTACCTGAACAGGTTTTTCCCAGCTGTGAAAAAAGTATTGAAGCATACCCTGGAAGAACAAATCAGACAAATGCAGGAATTCTTTCACTTGAAGGTAACAGGAAAGATCGACACAGAGACTGTGCAGGTAATGGATCAGCCCAGATGTGGCGTGCCAGATGTCTTGGAGTATCGTACTTTCGGAACTGAGAGATGGAATAAAAACTTACTGACTTACAGGTTAGCTGAGCTTCACCTTTCTGAAAAATGCAATAAATAAATAAATTGGCTAAGTACTAATATCATATTTTCCTCCACTGCTCAAAGGATTAATAACTACACCCCCGATATGACTCGAAGCAAGGTAGACGCGGCCATAGCAAAGGCATTTAAGGTGTGGAGCGATGTGACCCCCCTGCAGTTCAGGAAAACAACAGGACCTGCTGATATTGAAATTTCTTTTGCATATAATGGTAAGGCTGCCTTGGCTGATGTGTTTTGTTCATGTCTATGTCTCATACCTCTTCAGAGAACCTGATATTTATTTATTTTTACAGGGGGAAATGCAATTAAAAAAATATCCCCAACCATTAAAAACTTGCTCAAGCCTTTGAAACTATGTATGTATGTATGTATGTATGTATGTATGTATTGGGGAAATATCTGAAATTTGGTATGAAGGACCTTCAGAGGAAGATGTTTCGTAGCTAAGTAGCCACCGTCAGCTTTGCCTTTATATACGTTCACACTATTTATCTTTCATTTAATTTCATGTCACTTTTAGTTCATATAACAACTTTCTGCATTACTATACACAAGGCACTAGATTCAGGTAGGTAGCCATGTTGGTCTGACACAGTCAAAATATATTTAAAAAATTTAAAAAATTGTGCAGTAGCATCTTAGAGACCAACTAAGTTTGTTCTTGGTATAAGCTTTCGTGTGTATGCACACTTCTTCAGTGTATAGCACTGTGTATAGCACTGCCAAGAAGCCTCTGCAGATTGCAGTGACTATGATGGATAGGAGGCAATGCCTTGTTTATGCAGTGTTCACCTTTTAAAGCCTTTTATGGGACAAAGAATCATGCCCTAAAGGAGCATGGTGTCAGTCTCCAAACAATCTCCAAGGACAGCCCCATCCTGGGATCATTGCAGGAATCTGTCCTCAAGATGGTCGAGGCCACTCCCCCATGATGCAATCCTACAGCGCTGGGGCGGGGGTGCATGAACGAAGAAGAGCCACATGGGCAGGGTCAATTGTATAGCCATTCACACCTGTTTGATGCCCTATAGCTACACTACCAGTGCCGGATTTACATATAAGCTAAACAAGCTATAGCTTAGGGCCCCATTCTCTTGGGGGCCCCCAAAAAAAATTAAAGGGGAAAAACTGGATGTACATTTCCAAAATACAGTGGTACCTCTGGTTGCAGATGGGATCCATTCCGGAGGTCCGGTCAGATCCCGAGGTTTCTGCAACCTGAGGACCACTTCTGCGCATGCACAGTAGGGCGGTTCATTAAAAACTTTTGGGGGGGAAATGCCTGCTCCAAAGGTCTTGTCTTACTACAATAGGGATTGTATAGCTATATCTGAAATTTCATGCATACCTTGACCCTGCTCCACTGAATTGAAATTTCAGCCTTCCCGACATAGGAAAATGGCCAAGTAAACAGCTATTTTCATGGAGCAGGGTCAAGATATTAACTGATATGCATGAAATTTCAGATATAGCTATATAATTCCTAGATAAGACCTTTGGAGCAGGCATTTTCCCAAAAAAAGTTTTTTATGAACCGCCCTAATGTGCAGACTGCTTCTGCACAAGCGGTAAAATACTTCCAGGTTTGCCGCATGCGCATCCCGAAGTTTATATAACCAGAGGGTTACGTAAATGGAGGTTTGACTGTATAAGATAAAAAACAAATAAAATAAAACCTACATACAGCAACAGTGTTTTGTGTTTTGCAGGCTCCTGTGATGTACATACTTTGTTATGTGCAAATGGCTTTAGATACCTGTTAGGTCCATACATTACCATATAGCATATAAAGGTAAAGGTAAAGGTACCCCTGCCCGTACAGGCCAGTCTTGCCAGACTCTAGGGTTGTGCGCTCATCTCACTCTATAGGCCGGGAGCCAGCGCTGTCCGCAGACACTTCCGGGTCACGTGGCCAGCGTGACAAGCTGCAACTGGCGAGCCAGCGCAGCACACGGAACGCCGTTTACCTTCCCGCTGGTAAGCGGTCCCTATTTATCTACTTGCACCCGGGGGTGCTTTCAAACTGCTAGGTTGGCAGGCGCTGGGACCGAACGACGGGAGCGCACCCCGCCGCGGGGATTTGAACCGCCAACCAAGCGATCGGCAAGTCCTAGGCGCTGAGGTTTTACCCACAGCACCACCCGCGTCCCTGCATATATTCAACACAAAAAACAGCGACGATTTGCTGTTGACAAAATATAAGCTGGACTTATAAAGGGCCCCATTACCTTCAGCAGCTTAGGGCCTCATCAAACCTAAATCCGGCCCTGTACACTACCATTCTCCGCTGCTACCTAACTAACAGATCCTGGGGCGCTCCAAAGCTTGTTGCATCTAAACTCCACCCGTGACAACTGCCCCCAAACGCTGGACCTGCCAACCACAATTCTTCTCTGTACTGAGTTGCACCAGACTCATTCATACCAATTTCCCGACTGCAGGATGAGGTCGTATGTTACCATCTGCTGACATTCACAGTGGAAGCAGCCATGTGATTCTTTCTCCCCACACTTCTCCTCTGTCAACACTACTGGAGTGACATAGGACAAGGGCATGGGGAAGTGGCTGCCGTGATGTTGATACAGCATGACTAAGCTTTCTAAATTATCTGAGAGTGTCAACAAGCTTGTGGATAGGGATGATCCAGTAGACACTGTGCACTTGGACTGTCGAAAAGCTTTTGCCGAAACCTCAGACAAAAGGCTCATGTGCAAGTCATGGAATAAAAGGGCACATCCTCTTCTAAATCAGTAATTGGTGCAGGGGCAGGAAGTAGAGGCTAAGACTAAATGGACAGTGGTTGGATGTATAAAAAAAATGGATCCCAGGATCTGGACAGGACAGGTGTTTTCGAACTTGTTCATAAATGACTTGGAGGTAGGGTAAACCTATAAGGCAGCCAGGGTTACTGATGTATCCAAATTATACAGGGTGATATTAAGAACAAAAATGGAGTACAAAGAACTGCAGGGTTATGGCAGGTGGCCATTTTGGAAAACGGCTTCTATAGATTTATGCCAATCTTCACATGATGTCTACCCTTCCCTTCCCCCCATTATATATGATCCAAGTTTAAATTGCCATCAGTAACAACTTTCCTATGGAAATCAATTAGAAAGGCAAGTCTATAGTAGGAGCTAGCTGATTTTATTCATGCTTAGTTGCTTAATGGGCATGATAAACTGTGACTATGTGGACTATTGTTCCATTTCATTTTTTAAAAAAATAATAATCCCGTAAATTCCAACTGTCTTTTTAACATCTATAACTCCACAAGCAACATACTGTAGAAATATCTAAGCCACACACAGCAATCCCAAAAACCGAAAGACTTTTTTGAGATTGGGTGTAGTAAGTCTGAGTTGTTGTTGCTGTTGCTGTTGTTCTTTTTACTGTTTCTTAACTGCAATTGAATGTATTTACTTTTTTTAAAAGATATTTATTAAAGTTTCAGATAAAAAGAGACACATCAATAAAAAAAGAATTTAAAAGTAAAAAGAAAAATACACAATACAAAATACAGAAAGAAAAAAAGAAAAAACAGTTAAAAACAATTCCATCTTTTCATCACTACTTTTAAATTTACTTATTTTCTGGACCTCCTCATACCTCCCTCTTTTGTATTCCAATTCAGTTTGTTTGTCCAGCAATTCCTTTCCCTCCTTTTTAATCCCAATCCTTAATCTCAATATAATATAACATTAAATTTTTATCTATTAATAGCCAATTTTCCATTCTTTTAACCTTTTTAATCCTGATCCTTGATCTTGATCTGTATATAACTTTAAAGCCTGTACAGCTAGAAACCGCTTAATTTCAATCCATCATCACTCTAACATTCTTTAATTTTGCAATGTTTCTGTAGGTAATCTTTAAATTTCTTCCAATCTTCTTCCACCGACTCTTCTCCCTGGTTTAACTGCAATTGAATGTAATGGCTCTGAACAGCATACCTAAGCATTATTAAAATACAATAAAAATAATAATAATAATACAATTACATTATAAAATGCATCATGGCAGGGCAACTGAACACAAATAGCGCAGACAGATCTTGAAGTTACAACAAACTCGGAAGTTGCCATAGTTGAATGAGTCTGAGCTAAGGAATAAGGCTGAGAATTCAGAGCCAGGAGGAGTTTGTTGGGGGAGTACTTCAACATGTGTACTTCAAGACTAATGGATAAGAATCCCCCTGAACTGCTGGTAATACCTCGTTTTCCCTTTCCAACTCAGAGCATGGTGACAACATCCCTTTCGATGGGAGGAGCGGAGTTCTGGCTCATGCTTTTGCCCCTGGGCCAGGCCTTGGTGGAGATGCCCACTTCGATGAGGCTGAACGCTGGTCAGAAACCAACAGAGGTAAATATATATATATATTCAAAATGTGTGAGCCGGGTCCCGTTGGGGCATCAATGTGTTGTGCGCAAATACGACCCCTCAAAAACAACAACTCTGCACTGTTTTGTATACAATTCATGCATGGAATTCGCTGTCACACGCAGGTAACAGCACCTATAGGTAAATGGGCCCTTAACCATTAGGTCCAGTCATGACCGACTCTGGGGTTGCGGCATTCATCTCGCTTTATTGGCAGAGAGAGCCGGTGTACAGCTTCCAGGTCATGTGGCCAGCACCACTAAGCCGCTTCTGGCGAACCAGAGCAGCGCACAGAAACGCCGTTTACCTTCCTGCCGGAGCGATACCTATTCATCTACTTATACTTTGACGTGCTTTTGAACTGCTAAGTTGGCAGGAGCAGGGACCGAGCAACGGGAGCTCACCCCATCGCGGGGATTTGAACCGCCGACCTTCTGATCAGCAAGTCCTAGGCTCTGTGGTTTAACCCATAGCACCACCCGCATTCCTAGAACAGCACCTATTATAGACAGCTAAAGGAGAACTGGGCAAATTCATGGAGGATCAGTCTATCAATGGCTTCTAGACATGATTCTGAAATCACTGGATAGCAGTTGGCAGGGAGCAACAGGAAAAGGGGGTTTCATTGACTACACTCCCTATCTGTATGCTTTTCAGAAGCACTTGCTAGCAACTGTAGGGAGCAGGATGAGCCCAGGGGTCATCTAGGCCCACCCCCGCAATGCAGGAATCACATCTAAAGAATCCCTGACAGCAACTTTGACACACGTGGGTCTCCTTCAGTAGCACTGTGCTTATAAAATGCTCTGTGGAATGTCACCAGCTCCCTACACGCCATACATTTAAAGCACATCCCTTCCCCATCCCCCAAAAGTCCTGAGAATTGCAGTAGGTTAAGAGTGCTGGGATTTGTAGCTCTGTGAAGGGTAAACTACAGCTTCCAAGATTCTTTTGGGGGAGGCTGCTTTAAATGTATGGTGTGTACACAGCCCTAGTCTAGGAGAATGCTGCCTCTCCCAGCATAAGATGCCCAAGGCAGTTGCCTCACTTTGACTAATGATAGGACCGGCCCTGCTAATACGCACTGCTCATCTGAGTTGTTTTCTGTGTTTTAGAAGTCAACCTGTTCCTTGTGGCTGCACATGAATTTGGTCATTCTTTGGGGCTTGCTCATTCAAATGTCTATGGCTCTTTGATGTATCCTACCTATTCCTATGTGAACCCAAATAACTTCCATCTCTCAGATGACGACAGGGACGGAATCCAGAGTTTATACGGTAAATTCACTGTCTAAAGTTCCTTCCCTATGTTAAATTAGTTATAACGAAGTCTGCAATTAGTGCGGTTTCATAGAGAAATTGAAGCCTGATATATATATATATATATATATATATATGAATTAATTATGTGACATTGAAAAAATGCAACTATTGATGAGCACAGGAACTGCTCAAGAAATGGAAGGATCGGACAGGAAGAAGTCAAAGCTCAATTTGAGCAAAGATATATGTGATGAAGAAATATTGTTACAAAGGAAAAAATAAAAAAATAATAAATATTATATTTAAAAAGAAAGAAATGGAAGGATCACAAACACACGTGTTGAATGTTTGCAAAATGCAGTTATTTCAGGAACAGGCCTTACTTTGGAAGTTCATGACTTGTTCTTACTCACTCTAGCAGTAAAATGAATTAACAACCTGGGACAAAAAATAACCAATCTCCCCGAGTTCAGAAATACTCAAACGAAATCTACGTTTCGTGAAATGATACCTGGAGGGCTCAAAAACTCATTTATAGCCAGTTTTTTCCAGCTGAACACACTGGTGATTAGGCTTGCATTTTATTTCATTCAAATGTGGGTCTGTGCAGCAATCGGGGGTGCTACCAAAATGATAAAGGAACAATAACATCAATATAACAATCAATATCCATCCAAATTGCACATGTGAACCCTTCCTGCAAATTTCAAAATACATAAAACGCATAGCAGTTCATTTGACTAATGGCTTGGTGGAACGAAAACCTTCCAGGAGAAATGGACTTGGAAACTAGTAAAGAAGACCAAACACTGGTCAGTAATGGATTGTGTGGTGGGACAGCTGTGCTTGCCTGACCTCCCGACGGGTTAGTCGCTGCTGCTTACCAGGAAGGAGGGAGCTGGGCAAGGCGGTGGGCAGGTCAGCGCAGCGCAAACACACCAGCAATGCTCTTGCACTGCACCAAACTTTCTGCAACCTTCCCCTCTCCTTCCCAAAAAGCCGCAGCAACTCAGCTGTTGGGAGGTCAGGTCAGTGACACCACCCCAACATGCTGTCCACTGTGTTTATATCGCCCATTCCCAGTTAGCAATCTCACAGGACTAACTGAAATTTCCAGATGGCTTTTAAAGGCAGCCTGCACCCTATACAGGCTATACAGGGCAGGATATAAATTCTATTGTTATTATTTATTTATTTATGTATTTATTTATTGTCCAAAGTTGCTCTAAGAACGTCCTGCTGCTGCAAGAGGGCTAGGATTGGGGGAAAGATGCTCTCACAAAAGAATTAAGGGTCTGCAATCTTATACCCACTCAGCTGAGAGCAAGCCCCACTGAACTCAATGAGACTTCCTTTTCAGTAGACACATACAGAATAAGATTATATCAACCATCTTACATTTGAGATTATCTTTTTAATTCTATATTCTTTATTGAAAAATAAAAAAGTACAAAATTGCAAGTGCACAGCGTAAGATAAGACACAGAAAAGAAGAAACAAGAAATAGTACCCATGTAGAAAACATAACAGGGGGGGAAAGATATTGTGTATTTTTATGAATACCCTATTAGGTAAAAGTCTGGTTAACTACAATAACAATTTCCTCCCTTTTTTGTAATGTACACAATGTATGCATTTGAGAGTATCTTGTCCATTGTGATCTATATGGATTTTTAAAAATACCTCTTTCTAAATTTCTATTTAATTTTGTTTATATTGCTTCCACACAGGTAAAAGAAAATGAATCCCCTCACAACATGTTCCAGAAGAAACAAAATGTCCATATTTTGCTCTTACATTTTTTTTTTAATTGTTATTTTAATGAAGCAAAACTGCAAAATGGGGAGGCGTGAAATCTTTTTTAAAAAATCACTTAAGCTTTGTAAGTTAAGTATGTATATTGCTTGCAGCAGACAGAATATATATGCAAATTTGCAGACCTTTTTCTGTCCTAATTTGAAGGATAAGTTCTAAGGGAATTGGTTCCTGTTTCTGATTACCCTAAAAGGCCAAAGCTAGACTTAATCTAACCGATTATATCTAACTAAACAACTTAATATTTACAGTGTCTTGTGATTCTGGCATCGACATCCTTGCTCTTTTAATAAATTAAGGAAATAGGTGGAAATGATGCAAATGTGAATGTTACGTGATCCTTTCAACAAATTTAATCTCTCGTAACTCTGAAAAGAGAATGTGCAAGTGAAATTTTGCTGTTATGTTTCAAAGGAGTGGCTAAGGAACTGTTGGTTAATGTATTGCTCTTTTGTGATCGGAAAAAAAGCTTCAAATAAAGCAGTTTAATTTACAAAAAAATGTCTGTAAGCATTTTTAAGGGTTAGTTTGTTATGTGGCACAGGAGCTGGATGTTTGGGGAACAGGAAACTGCCTTATACCGAGTTAGACCATTAGTCTACCTAGGTCAGTATTGTCTACACTGAATGCCAGCAGCTCTCCAGGATTTCAGCCCTACCCAGAAATGCTAGGAATTGAACCTGAGATCTTCTGCATGCAAAACAGGTGCTCTGCCACTGAACTACAGCCCTTCCTTCATACATAGGTAAAGGTAAAGGGACCCCTGACCATTAGGTCCAGTTGTGGCCGACTCTGGGGTTGCGGCACTCATCTCGCTTTATTGGCCGAGAGAGCCGGCGTACAGCTTCTGGGTCATGTGGCCAGCAGAACTAAGCCGCTTCTGGCGAACCAGAGCAGCACACGGAAACGCCGTTTACCTTCCCCCCAGAGCGGTACCTATTTATCTACTTGCACTTTGTCGTGCTTTCGAACTGCTAGGTTGGCAGGAGCAGGGACCGAGCAACAGGAGCTCACCCCGTCGCGGGGATTCGAACCACCGACCTTCTGATCGGCAAGTCCTAAGCTCTGTGGTTTAACCCACAGCGCCACCCGTGTCCCTTTCCTTCATACATACACACAGTCCAAACTAGGACTTGCCTACTGCCAGGAGCGAGCCAGAAATAAATCACACTGAGTAAGTGAAGTTAACTCTTTATTAGAAGACACAAAGACAGCTCAGGAGCGTCAGGCCTAATGAGCACAGCAACTCTTCTCAGTAGGTCTTGCCGCATAAGGCTGTTGCGGATACTGAAGGTCCCTGACTTCCCACAGCTAAGTGCCCTCCTCTCCTGGATCCCTCCCATGCAATCTGAGACTATGCCAGTGCACCTGTCTTTGGTCCTCCCACTTCATGCCTCTCCTGGCCCTGTGAGACTGGGGGAAGAGGAGCTTGTCGCAGCAGGAGGGGAAGGCTCCCTGGCTTCTTCACCAGCCTGACTCATCTCTGCCTTGTGGTCTCCCTCCTCATCTGCTTCCACTTCAGACTCCCCTTGCTCACTAAACTGTGTTACCTCTTCAGCTTCTGACACCTCCTCCTCCCAGCCTGCTCCCTCTAATCACTCACAGTTGTCCCACCACCAATCCCAGGCTCTGAGCCTTCTTCCCTGAGGGATCCTCTGCATACAGCTGGTCCCTGAAGCAGAAGGTATTAGAATGGTGAACAAAACGGAGGAGGAGGAGGAGGAGTTTGGATTTGATATCCCGCTTTATCACTACCCTAAGGAGTCTCAAAGCGGCTAACAATCTCCTTTCCCTTCCTCCCCCACAACAAACACTCTGTGAGGTGAGTGAGGCTGAGAGACTTCAGAGAAGTGTGACTAGCCCAAGGTCACCCAGCAGCTGCATGTGGAGGAGCGGGGAAGCGAACCCGGTTCACCAGACTACGAGACTACCGCTCTTAACCACTACACCACACTGGCTCTCAATGAGTGCATTCAATTCTGTAATAAACTATAGTTCCCAAGTTTTTTCTGGGTAAGTCATGACTTTGGGAGTTTGTTTTGTTTTTATGATACAATGCATATATATATATACACATGCATGTACTGCTATATATATACTTGCAGACCTTCAGATGACAAGCAACTAACAGGTCTGAATAACAACAACAGCAGCATCAACAGAAAATGCCCAGCAAATTTCCCCATTGTTCCCACATCCTGCCTCATACATCCCCAGCTTCCACTACAAATGTCTCAGTCATCTGGAAGGACAGGTGTGATGCCTTCCAGTACCGACAAACAGAAAATACCAGGAAATTAGTAGATCCGCATAGAGCTTTAGGATTTAAGCATTTGGCAGCAGGTCTCTCCCTCTATTTGTCAAGCTGCTGCACTGTACTGCTTTGTGCAGGATGGGAAGCTGTTGCATAAGGTGCACTATCTTATAGCACAATGCATGTCTGTGCATCGTGGGATTTCACAGGCCAGTACTGTGATGCTATGGAGGAGTTCAGATAACCGCAGGCTAGATGGCCCTGCTTCACTTTATGTCTGCTTTCTGTCTTACCGGGAACCAGGAACAATACTATTCTAGGTAGCAGCCACGCTTTATGTTTTCAAAAATGGAAACCAGCCATTAGGGATGAGTGAATCTATCCATTTCAGTTTCCTTCAGTTTCTCATTTTTTGACTTACAGTTCTGCTATATTTCAACATCAGTTTTTAATTTATTTTCATTAATATATGCACTTTTATGCACGCTTTACTTTGGTATATGCATTTTATGCACACCTTGCTTGGCTGAATTGCAAAACTTGGAGAAGTGCGAATTTCAGAGGCGTGAATTTCCCATCAGCTGTGCTTCGATTCACGTATTATTTCAGAAGGTGTGAATTAGATAGAGCTTCCTTTAAATGAGAACTAGATCAATGACCCTCGGAATCCCTTCCAGCTCTATAATTCTTGAAATGTCTCCCACATCCCTACCATTATTCTTCCACCACAGATGAAACTTGCCACCTGCAAAATATTGGCTCCCAGTACATTTCCGAGCACAATTCAAAGTGTTGGTGCTGACTTTTAGAGCCCTAAATGACCTCGGCCCAGTATACCTGAAGGAGCGTCTCCACCCCCATCGTTCAGCCCAGACACTGAGGTCCAGCGCCGAGGGTCTTCTGGTGGTTCCCTCATTGCGAGAAGAAAAGTTACAGGGAACCAGGCAGAGGGCCTTCTCGGTGGTGGTGCCTGCCCTGTGGAACGCCCTCCCTTCAGATGTGAAGGAAATAAACAACTATCTGACTTTTAAAAGACATCTGAAGGCAGCCCTGTTTAGGGAAGCTTTTAATGTTTGATGTTTTATAATGTTTTTAAGATTCTGTTGGGACCCGCCCAGAGTGACTGGGGAAACACAGCCAGGTGGGTGGGGCATAAATAATGAGTTGTTGTTGGTGGTGGTGGTGCTGCTGCTGCTGCTGTAGCTGCTGCTGCTGTTGTTAGTCTGAGTCTGTAATCTTCATTTTCAAACCGTAGCTGTCAACTTTCAGATTTGAAAATAAGGGATCAGCAGCCTCGAAAATACAGTGATACCTCGGGTTAAGTACTTAATTCGTTCCGGAGGTCCGTACTTAACCTGAAACTGTTCTTAACCTGAAGCACCACTTTAGCTAATGCGGCCTCCTGCTGCTGCCGTGCCGCCGGAGCACAATTTCTGTTCTCATCCTGAAGCAAAGTTCTTAACCCGAGGTATTATTTCTGGGTTAGCAGAGTCTGTAACCTGAAGCGTATGTAACCTGAGGTACCACTGTAAGGGATCAGCAGCCTCACCTGTCCAGGGGACAGTCTACGGGATATCTAACAATCCGGGATAGCAGCGGGAAGCAGCGGGAAACGGCGCTGGAATAAGGGAATATCCTGCAAAAAAGGGAAGGTTGACAGCTATGCTTCAGACTGAGTCTAAACGCAAATCTCACGCCTTCAAAATCCAGCCTTATTTATTTTTACTCCCATCCTCCTCCGACCCCCTAAACTCTTCCTTCCTGAAATACCTTGCTTGATGAAGCATTCTGGAGGACTCAAAAGCTTGCATGCTCAATTTTGGTCCTGAGAAAGGTACTGCTCACTTTGTAAAGATTTGTATAATGGCATTATATTCTCAGTTTTATTTTCAAGTCCTTTCCTAATGATCCTAAGCATGGAATTTGCATTTTTCATTGCTGCCGCACACTCAGTCAACATCTTCATTGAGCTATCTACTATAAGCCCCAGCTCCACTTCTTTTACCTGCCTGAGAACTGTAGTTTATTAGGGTGTTGAGAGTTGTTAGGAGACCTCGTTCCCTCAGGGAACTACAATTCCCATACAGGTTTAACAATCAATTGCTCTTCCCAGGGAACTCTGGGAAACTGTAGCTCTCTGAGGCGAATAGTGGTCTTCTAACAACTCTCAGCACCCTTAACAAACCACAGTTCCCAGGATACTTTGGGGAAAGTTATTTGATACTGCTTTAAGTGTATAGTGCAGATGGAGCCATAAATAGTTATCCAGAACTGCAAGCCATAGGGGGAAAAACTGCCCTCCTGGACATAGAAAAACAGCAATCTACTATGCTTTGCCTAGATAGAGATTTCTTAGTCTCAGTCTGCCATCTGATGGACAATGCAGTCCTTGTCTCATAAGCATTTCCCCTAGATTCTCAAGCTTTTGTCTTCTTCAATGACAGCCTGAAAATTGCGAACCATGTATTAGACCTTTTTGGTTCTACAAATCAAAGTGCATAATTTAATATTTTAATTGCTGGCGTCTTCCATTTCTGACGCAGTGAATCTCCCTGCTTTGGGTGAGCAAAGTTCTGCAAAATTTGTCGTCCGAATCAATCAACCAAATGCAATATACTCAGCCGCTCCACAACCTTTCTAAGGACCACCTAAGTGGGCTTTTTCTCATCAAATATACCAGTGGTCCACATCCGTTGAGAATTTCTGAGAGACACCAGACATAACTACTTTAAGGACCTCCTTTTCTCCCAAAACATGATCCCTCATTTCTTGTATTAAGACTGTTATGTTCATAAATAGTATGCGTTGTCTGTTAAACCTCAGCCTTCACACAGATGGTGATAACAAAACTGACTTATTTTCAAGGTTATATACAGGTCCATGGCCTTGTTCTAAAACACAGACCTGAAGCAGGGACCTTCTAGTTCAAAGAACAAACAAACAAGGAAGAATCTGGGGTTCAGCTGAACTTAGGGGTTGGGAAGAAATTTAATTCACTTTGCATTTAAAGGTAAACTTATTTAATTTACACTTTCCAAAACTATATTCTTGTTGTTTGTTCCGCCCCACCACTAATATATGCATTTATATGCACACTTTCCTCCAGTATATCATTTTTGTACACATTACATGGTGGGAGAATTGCACTGTAAAAACTGTCTGTCTGTTCCACAAGAACCGAGTGGGATGGAATGTTATGCTTGGAATCTATCCCTAGAATGAAGAAGGATAAAAACACTATTGCACTAGGTGGCAGCAAAGCTGGTGTTTATATCAAATCCGATTACTTTCATGACTAAAACATTTCTTTTACCCGAAGGCCATTTTATACAAATCAGCAGAATTCATGGGCAAAAGTTCTCCCCGGATGAACAAGTTCAGAATTCAGGTTAGGGGTTGTCTGCTTTTAATTGTGTTGTTGTATATCTTCTTATTATTTTTTCTCATCGGTACTTAAAACATCCTGGGATAAATACT